AAGAGGGCATGTATTGAATGGAGCACTGGGTGTTATACGCAAACAATGAATCATGGAACACTACATCAAAAACTAATGATGTAATGTATGGTGACTAACATAACATAATAAAATTTAAAAAAAGAATTTTTCCATATGTATTCCATACATTTGAACTCTACCGAGTTACCATCTAAAGAATATTTTCAAATTGCCATTTTCTTTGTCTACATTTGATATCATATTAATTTAAACTACTTCACTTTCAGTGTCAGGAAGAAATGACCTTCAGCAGAGCCAGCCCATTTCTGGTACCCTGGATCCTGATGTGAAAGATGTTATTATTAATTTCCAAGCTTACTGCTGCATTCTCCAGGACTGCTTTCCTGTACATCCCCCATCAAGAAAACCAATTCCCAGGAAGCGACCAGCCACATATAAGTACATAGGCCTTTTGTTTATTAATACCTTCAATAGCACTTGATAGAATTCTTTTCACATGTCACTCTTGGGTGAGAAAATAATGTCCTCATCCTGCACAATGCCTTGTAAGTCACAAAGCACTTCCATACTCATTACTTCACTTGGGCCTTATAACCACCCTGATGAGAAAATGGAAAAATCTCACAAAAAATTTTGTGTGAATGTTACTGGTAATCTTAGACTTGCAGAATGTTGGATATGGACTATTAGACCAACTCCCTTATTATAAGGTGAGAAAGCTGAAGCCAGTGACCTTTAGTGAATTACCCAAGATCACAAAACTTCTTGATGACACTTCCAAAATAGCACCAGAAACAAAGTCTCCTCATTAATCCAATGCTTTCTTAGTGGGTGGTGTCTCTTTGTCTAGAATAACTGTCATGGTCAAATCTTGTAGCACAACTTATTTAATTTTGTTTCAAATGTTTGACCCCCTAATATATGTTAATTCTTACAGTTAAAAATGATTTTTCTATCTTTGAAACTTACATAGCCCTTTACCTTTATTTCTCATGTGGAACATTGCTCTCTACCTTGAGTTATAGTAATAACCATACATCATAGCACTAGCATGTGATGGTTCGTACTAGTCTTTAAGGCCCTTAGAGGTATTATCCTGATTTGATGTATATTTGTGTCCTTTATGGACAAATGATAATCATAAAAATAATGATAAGAGCCCGCTACTATGCATCAAGCACAACTCAATGTTTTTTATTACGTGAATTACATTTCAGAATATACAGATGTAGTAGTAACTATTGTACAAAAGAATAATAATTGATTTTTTTGATATATTAATTTGATCATTAAAAAATATTTGAACACCTGCTATGGCCCAGGTACTGTGCTAAGCACTGGGGAGTCAATTGTAAACAACACAGATGTGGTCCCGGCCCTCATTACACTCACATTCTATCCAAAGAGACAGATCCAGCACAAGCAAGCAAAGATACAAAAGAGTAAACAGTGTGAGTGAGTGATAAAGGTTATAAGGGGAATGGGGAGGTGTCTGGGACAGAGAGCAGTATGGCAGGGACCTCCTTTGGGTAGGAGGATTAGGAATAGCCTCTCACAGGAGGTGATATTCCAGCTGAGACCCAAAGGGTGAGGAAGAGCTAACCATGTGAAGGGTGGGGGAGGAAGGTTCTAGGCCCAGGAAGCATCTTGGGCAGAGACCCTGATGTGGGAAAGAGTATGGCATATCTAAGAACAGAGAGAAAACAACATGGCTGGACCCTGGTGAGCAGAGGAGAGTGGCCTAGAAATGGTGTTGGAAACAGGTGGAAATCAGACCATTCAGGTCATGCAGGCAGTTAGTATTAAGAAATAGAGGAAGCTTTTAAATGATTTTCAGCTGAAAAGTAATGTACTCCAGATTACATTTTGGAAAGACCACTTTTGCTACTCTGTCAGTATTATAGAGGGACAGTGGAGAAAGCAGGAAGGCTCATGAAAAGACTTGAGAGAGCTGTATTAGAGACGTGCACCATCAAGGTTATTGACCAAAAAGTCCTTATATAGTCTAAGGTAGATAGAATTATTGAAAATTTAATTAATATTTATCATTTACACACATAATAGATTTAGATTGGTCTAGACCAGGATGTGACAGAGGAATATGTTGGTATGCTACATGTATATGTCTTAGCATAGGTTGTTTCCCCCCATGGTATGAGTTCTGCTCACTAGAAATAGCTATAATTGGATTTATCAATTTATATTATACAGAGAGATATCAGTGAAAACAAACAGAATCTTGATCCAGGATGGGTACCTCAAGATTAGGATATAAAACTCTAGTATGCAACATACATATGCTTTGTTTCAGAGGTGTTAGGCTTTATTGATCATAACAGTGCCCAATAAGAAGAACAATATATAACGTGCATAGTATAGTGCTGTTGGAGATAAGAATGAAAGGCTATTAATCTTGAGAAAAACTAGTAGAATCAGTGATCAAATCCATACAATGCTGGTCAGGTTTTTTAGTTAGAAAGATACAGCCATTAAACGTAACTTGCTCTGAAATTGCTTCATGAAAAATAATGTATTATTGTAAGTCTAATTTAACTGCTGACCTTTCTTTTAAACCCAGTAAAACAAATTTTTATAACAGAATTTTTAACATATTTCAAATGTATAATACAAGTACACTTTAACCAAACTATATATTGACTGTCTTATAGAATTCAAGAATTTGTATCATGGAATTTTAAAATTTTTTACTAGTTCAGGAAACAACCTCTGATTGTGAACATTTTCCAGTGGGAAAAATATCATCAACTTTATAATAATATTCTTTACAACAATTTGCATGGGGGTGGTTTCTGGAAAGTATAGCAATGAAAAGTAGAGACTGCCTCTCCTCTAAAGCGTTTTTTATGTCTCTTTCAGTTTAACATAACCTTCACTCTGGTTGCAGACCTGCCATCCCTGATCCCATCCCAGGGGCTTAACCTCATTTACTCATCCTTACCAATTCAGAAACCATCCTTCCATCCCTCCCTTCACAGAATCTAGTGACCATATCCTCTTGCCGCCTTCCCCCATTCAGTAACACCATATGTAAGGGTCTTTAAATGGACAAAGGATGAATTTCTTTTCAGTTTCTACCATGTGAAATCTTTTTTTTTTTTAAGATTTATTTATTTTAGAGAGAGAGAGTGCAGGCCAGGGAAGGGGCAGAGAGAGAGGGAGAGAGAGAATCTCAAGCAAACTCCCCGCTGAGCATAGAGCTCAAAGAGGGGCTCAATCTCACAACCCCTGAGATCCTGCCCTGAGCCAAAATCAAGAGTTGGACGCTTAACCCACTGAGCCACCCAGGTGCCATTCTACCATGTGAAATCTTGTAAGGAAATTAAATAATTTACATTTTAGCCAAAATTAGGGTATCACAATGAGGATTTAGTGGGAGAAAAGGTGATTCAGATTGTAGATGGAAAGGAAGTTTTCTTTAGAGAAAAAAAAAGCCATTGTGTAGTCGTATGTGTTGAGTATTCTACCAATTGCACATATTAGCTTACCTACTTAGCAAAATTATAAATTCTCTAATTTGCATTCTATCATCCCAAAACAGCTAGTATAAGGAGATGGTCATTAAGTATATAAAGATAATACTTAATGGAACGATTTCTCTTCTCTTTTCAGCTTATGGTCAAATGATTCTTTCTGGCAATCATCTCGAGAAAATAATTATACCATACCTCACCCAGGAGCAAATGTAGTTATTCCTGAAGGTAAGTACGTAAACATAAACAAAATGCTTGTGTTTGTGTGATATTGATAGATAGCACAAAGTTAGAATTCCACTTCTATGCAACACACCTTGGGAAAAGAGCAAATGTGAAGAGATGGATTCTAGTATTGTTTCCTGGATACCAGACCTAGCCTTCTGGGTTTTATGTGGATTTAAACGTGAATATTAAGGATAATAGATTTTCTGGGAGAGTCAAGAATAAGTCATTGTGTGGGAAAAGGGTTGCAGACTTCGAAACCAGGACTCACTGGTAAGGGTGTCCATGTTTTTATCTATAAGCTATAGTATGAATTATGTTATATTTCTTATATTAAAGCATTGTTTTTATAGGAACATGGGTTGTAGCAGACACAGATATTCCACCAATGGAAAGTCTCATTATTTGGGGAGTTCTAGAACTGGAAGATAAACACACTGTGGGAGCTGCAGAGTCTTCTTACAGAAAAGTTGTTCTGAATGCTACCTACATATCACTTCAGGTAAGAGGGAGGGTCTTATAATTTATACCTTTATTAGTCAAATTCTAAGATGTTGGAGATTTGCTGAAGAAAAAATATAAGAAAGCATATTCAATCGATGTGAGTAAAAAACACAACTGGCTCTAACCCATGAGACGTGAGCCTCATGTAAGTCCAGCATATTTCCACTCTCCTTTCAACTGGTGGCTACATATTCCTTAAGGAGTAATTATGCTACTTTTACTGTGAAGTTTGCCCATTTTTAATCCTACGTAGAATATTTGTATACTGTTAGGTAAAGCTAAACCCACAACTTGCTCTAAGAACCAGAAAATCCCCAGGAGTTCTGGAAAGAAATAAAAGGTTTTAAGTCTTTTCTTTTTTTTAGAAAACAGTGTTTCTTAAAATGAATGGACATAAATGGAATGAGGAAAACAGGAGAAGATTCATAAAAATATTTCAACTGCTTGGAACAATCACCTCATTCTCTCATAAACCTCAGGTGGTCTTGAACATGTAACAGTATAATTAGTTGAGTTGTTCTGTCAGTCTATTATTATTGTTAATTAAAAAGAATGGCCTAACCAAGAGCTATGAAGTTAGGTTGAAAAGTAAAAGTGTGTAGGGATGCCTGGGTGGTTCAGTCGGTTAAGTGCCTTCTGCTCAGGTCATGATCCCAGGGTTCTGGGATCCAGCCTGCATTGGGCTCCCAGCTCAGGGGAGAGCCGCCTTCTCCCTCTCACTTTAGCCCTCCCCCTGCTCATGCTTACGCTCTCTCTCTCTCTCTCTCTGTATCTCCGCTAAATTTTTAAAAAAGTAGAAGTGTATAGTAGCTTTTCTTTATAAAAATAGGCCTTTACTGCTTTAAAGATATGCAATATTTTGGTATTTAGATGCATGAGCTTTGAGGTAAATTAAAGCAACGACTGAGTCCTTCAGCCTCACTGTCAGTTGGGAATTTGCGTAAGATATTTGACCACTTTCAGCATCAGTTTTCTCACCTATTAAATGAGAATAATAACAGCAATTCATGGGTTTAGTGTAAAGGTCAAATGATATAATATACATAAAGCCTTACACATTATGGCTGACATGGAATCAGCAAGCATTTAGTAATAGCTGTTATTATTCACAGTGGGGGCTCCTACTTGGCCATAGCTTGGATGTAAGTGTGAACAGTGTATTTCATATATGTCACATGGTGCTAAAATAAAACGTGATCTGTCCAAATGGCACAAGTTTAGATGTAAGCAGGTCTCAGTTTTAGGTATAACACTGACAATAAGTACCTATTGAGTCTGACCTTGGAAAAGTCATTTAAGCTACCCATCCCAAAGTGACAGCATTAAATCAAAGTCACTTCCAGATACAATACTGTTCTTTGTATAACAGATTTCATTCATTTTTATTAGAGGCTGCCAGTATCTTCCTAATTCCTTTTTTATGGGCGAATTTTTTTTCTGCTCAATTTTTAAGTATTAACAATTTTCTGCTTCACTGCAGGGAGGTAGATTGATTGGTGGCTGGGAAGATTACCCTTTTAAAGGAGAATTACAGATTGTTCTTAGAGGAAATCATTCTACTCCAGAGTGGGCTCTTTCAGAAGGACCAAATCAAGGATCAAAGGTCTTAGGTATGTGTTTCCAGATACTGATAGTATCATATCCATTTTGAAAATCTATTTTAAAACATATAGCACTAAGTTACCTGTTATCAGTTCAAGATGTTATGGTATCAGAAACTTTTACAGACATTTATTTATAATAAAGGATTATAAAAATAAAATTTTTTAAATTAAATCATGTCACACTAAAATAGGTATATGTGGGTATATTTGAAACCAAAATGTAATCCACTGCAAAACTAACATAAATCTCTCTATATGTATATTATTTCTCCAATCTGGTTTTCTTTATAGTCTTCCCTTTATATAAACAAGGATACTTTTTCATATTTTGGTGCCTTTTCCTTAAAAGGTAACTTTTCTGCACATTATTCCACTTACAGTATTAATAATCTGAGGATCAACTGACTCTGCTCTCCGTTATCCCGTCATACCTGTTGCTGAACTTTCTGTTTTCCAGTTGGATTTGTATGGCTGCATGTATTCCTATCTAAGCCTGGAAAGTAAAGAAACTAAGAGGGTTTATTTGGTCATAATTACTAACTACATTTATTAAAGCTGCTGGATATTCATTGAAAAGATACATACAAGCATGTGCTGTAGTTGCCTTCCCACATAGTTTCTAGAACAGCAACAGTCAGGAAAGAGGAGCATTAGAAAATCGCATCAGAATTGAATTAGTCAGCTCTCCACTGGTAAATGCCCCAAGGCAGACAAATTCAATCTGGAAAAAATATTTGCTTTTGGGAGTTTATTTATTTATTTTTTGTTTCAAAAGTAACATTTCAAACAACACAAGTAATACCAAGAAAAACTATTAAGAAAAAAATACATCTGGGGCGCCTGGGTGGCTCAGTCGTTAAGTGTCTCCCTTCGGCTCAGGTCATGATCCCAGGGTCTTGGGATCGAGCCCCGCATCGGGCTCTCTGCTTCACGGGAAGCCTGCTTCTCCCTCTCCCACTCTCCCTGCTTGTGTTCCCTCTCTCGCTGTGTCTCTCTCTGTCAAATAAATAAATAAAATCTTAAAAAAAAAAAAAACCATCTTTCCAATTCTACCCCATCATGAGGAAACGAGTGTCAATAGTTAACAGTGTCTACATGTCAAACTAAAGATACTAAGTTTTATTTCTCAGTTAACATATTGTGGATATCTTTCCAGATCAATATTTACAGATAACAGTCTTCCTTTTTAAACTATATTACCCTACTGTATTAGTTTCCATCATTCTCTTATTGATGTACACTAGATTTATTCCAGTTTTCCAATATTTTCAAATATTATAGTACTAGGTATCCTCATTCACATATCCTTGTGCACTGGCTTTAATTTCTAGGGACCAGATTCCTAGAAGTGGGTCAGAGGGTCAAAGTTTTCTTGTATCACCCTGAGCAGATAATCCAAATTCATTCCATTCATTCTAAAATGTCCAATCACTTATTAAAATATATCCGTGTATTGTCTCATTTTATACTAGCAACTAACTCAGTACTATGTGGTAAATAAATAGAATTTTTTCTCCTTCAGGGGTGTTTGGTGAACTGGATCTTCATGGAATTCCACGTTCAATATATAAAACTAAGCTCTCAGAAACTGCAGAGGCAGGTTCCAAAGTCCTGTCTCTAATAGATGCTGTGGATTGGCAGGTATGGGAGATAGTATGTGGTGGGAACTGAATACACATAGTGGGTCAGCTTAAAAAGGTTTCTTTCTTATTCTCATGGACATTTACTTTCTCATAGGATTAATCAGATGAGAAATGTATATTTTGTATTAGCTTGTACTCAAAAGCTTACCTGATAGCAGGCATTTAAAAATTGGGGTCTTTAAAGGGCCTTCAGAATATATAAAGAGTATTATTTATATATTAGTTATGAAAGGAAAATAGGGAAGTTTTTGAGTAAAAAAAGTTTTTTATGTGTGTCTTTCCCACATTTCAGGAATACCAAGTAATAAGTAATTGTGTAAAAAGAAAAAGTCTGGGGAAATATTTTTAAGTCTTAAGAATATTGTACTGACCAGTTTTTAATAAAAATATGAATATATTTGCTTTGATCCATTTAATTTTTAAAAAGTATATTGCCTATGATTTTATTTAATGACTGAATTAAATTTGAGGAAATGCTGAGATAAATCAAAATATAGAGTTCTTAAGATCAAATAATACATTATATGTTAAAAAAAAAAAGAAGAAGATAGCAGGAAGGGAAAAATGAAGAGGGCGGAAATCGGAAGGGGAGATGAACCATGAGAGATTATGGACTCTGAGAAACGGTGGGGGGATGGGTTAGCCTGGTGTTGGGTATTAAAGAGGGCACATACTGAATGGAGCCCTGGGTGTTATACGCAAACAGTGAATCATGGAACACTACATCGAAAACTAATGATGTAATGTATGGTGATTAACATAACATAATAAAAAAAAAAGATCAAACCCAAGCATATTTATTTTTAGAGACCTTAATGTATAGTTTGTTCCTTCTGATAATACCATGTTGCTAATCAGATATGAACTAAATTAGAACTTTTTAACAGTTATTATTAAGAAATAGAAACCTATTTTAAAAATTGTTCTTGAATTTGGCACTTGAATTTTTCTAAGGAGGGAGAAGAGATTGTGATAACAACCACAAGCTATGATTTCCACCAGACAGAAACTAGAAGTATCGTTAAAATCCTGCATGACCAGAAAATTCTCATTCTCAATGATACCCTTTCCTACACTCACCTTGGTAAGTGGCTGTTTTTTAACCAAATAGATATGTAATTAAAATGTCTTGAAATATTCACATTTTTAATGCTCTCCTTTGTAATTATTCAGCAAATATTCAGTGAAGACTACTGTATAGCATCCTGTGGGGCAAGGCTAGCACTTTCTGCTTTAAGCAAGCTTCTAGGTGATTTTTTTTTAAGATTTATTTATTTATTTATTTGAGAGAGAGAGAGTGTGTGAGCACAGGTGTGGGGTGGGGTGGGGTGGGGGAGGGGCAGAGGTAGAAGGACAGAGAGAATCAGCAAATGTCACACAGACTCCCCGCTGAGTGGGGAGCCCCACACAGGGCTTGATCTCACGACCCTGAGATCATGACCTAAGCCAAAATCAAGAGTCAGACACTTAACTAACTGAGCCACCCAGGCACCCACTAGGTGATTCTTATGCACAGTGAATTTTGAGAACCTTTGATTCAAGAGCATCTTTGTCCTAAATTAAAAAGTATCATGGGGGGATCTAAGATAGTTATTAAAAGATTGCTGATTATAATATTTTTTTGGTGTAAATAGAAGAAATGCTTTTAATTGCGTTTCATGTTATAAATTAAAAAATATCATGAGGGGATCTAAGATGGCGATGTAGTACTAGGACCCTAGACTCATCTCGTCCCTCAAACACAACTAGATAATTATCAAGTCATTCTAAATACCCAAGAAATCATTCTGAAGTCTGACAGAACAAAGTTCACAACTAGGAGAGAAGAGGCCACACTGAGGAAGGTAGGAGGTGCAGAAATTTGGTTTGGGGGAGAAACAGATCCCAGGTGTTGCATAGGGGAGGAAGCCCTGATCGCAGAGAAAGGCAGGAGAGTGCATAGCACACAGGGGAGAGTACATGGTGAACATTTCCCCAAAACCATTGGCTAGGAAAGCAGAGGGGCTGATTTTCACAAGTTTTTGCAAGCAGTGGGGCTTGAAGAGTGGAGTTTTAAAGGTCGAGGGATTGGCTGGGATAGAGCCCTGAGGGCGCTGCCCTGTTCCTGGAGAGAAGACAGGCAGGCAAGCAAGGGGAGTGGGGCAGAGACGGCAGGATCTGAGGAATGCCTAAAACACAAAGAGACTGTTCTCTCTTCTTGGAGCATTTTTGTGAGAGGTAACTTTCTAGGACATGCCTCTCCATGGACAAAAGAGCAGCAGGCGCCATTTCCCTCACCGGCCCCTCAGCATATGCTGGTTCAGAGGCACCTGCAGAATACAGCTCAGCCCCAGCACCCTGCTGCCTAGCCTGCATGCTCCATGTCCCACAGCCCTGCGCTCTGGCATGACTACCCTTCTGGGTCAAGTCTGCCTCCGTCCCAGTGCAGTGAGACCTCCCCCTGAAGGCCAGCACAGGCCCCTGCCCACATCACGTCCACAAAGCCTGGAGTTTTAAAAGTCAGCAGTCTTGGCTAGGATAGAGCCAGGGGGACACTGCACTGCTCCTAGAGAGAAGAGCAGGCATACAACCCGGGGGTGGATGGTGTGGAAACAGTGATCTGAAAAATGCCTGGGACACACAGTGCGGAGATTATTTGCCCTTCTGGGAGTGCTTCCCTGAGAGACAGTATGCTCGATGATTCCTCTCTGGGGACAAAGGAGCTGCCTGGTACTATTTCCCACTCCCACCCCTCAGCATAAATGCAGAGCCACCGGTAGTAAACAGCACAGCACTGACACTTGGCTGCTTAACCTGCTTACACCAAGTTGCACACCCCTATGCTCTGCCAGTATGGCCCTTCTTGGTCAAGTGTGCCTCACTCCCAATACAGTAGGCCCTTCCCCAGAAGACCATCAGAAACCCCTGCCCACACCATGTCTTCTGAGTAGAGAGGTCTGCAGGGTTTCAATTCTAGTGGAAGTAGCATCAGGTCTCATTTAACAAGCAGACCAGAGCACACCTAGTTAAAAATTTGCCATACTCTGGCCAAGGACCAAACACTGCCCACTGTAGGCAAGGAGAAACTCTGCAGATGACAGGCCTGAAGGATAGAGCAGCCAAAACACAACAGCAGAGTGTACACAGCACACACTAGAGACACTCCTTTAAGTGCCAGGGCCTGGACACTATATGACCTCCTTCTTCATAAAGCCATTGCTCTAAGGAGCCGGACATATAACAGGCTTTTCTAACACACTGAAGAAGACAGAGATTTAGACAAAATGGCGAGATGGAGGAATTCATCCCACATGAAAGAATAATATAAGGACATGGCCAGAGATCTAAGGGAAACATACATAAGTGATGTGCCTGATGGAGAATTTAAAGCAACAATCATAAGGATACTCGCTGGGCTTGAGAAAAGAATGGAAGACTTCAGGGAGACCCTTAAAAGATAAAATAGTAAAAAAAAAGATGAAATAGTTTTAAAATGATCAGTCAGAAATGAAAAATGCAGTAACTGAGATTCAAAACAGATTGGATGCAATGAACACAAGGATGGAAGAAACAGAGGAACAAATAAGTGATATAGTAGAGAGAATAATGGAAAATACTGAAGCAGAACAAAAGAGAGAAAGAAGAATTATGGATCATGAGAATAGACTTAGGAAACTCAGTGACTCCATCAAATGTACTAACATTTGTATCATAAGAGTCCCAGAAGAAGAGAGAGAGAGAGAAAAGCAGGTAGAAAATTTATTTGGGGAAATCATAGCAGAAAACTTCCTTAAGCTGGAGAAGGAAACAGACATCCAGATCCAGGAGGCACAGAGAACTCCCATCAAAATCAACAAAAGCAAGCCAACACCAAGACATATTTTAGTTAAATTTGCAAAATATAGTGATAAATCATTCTCAATGGGGAAAAACTGAGCGCTTTCCCCCTAAGGTCAGGAACGCGGCAGGGATGTCCACTATCACCACTGCTATTCAACATAGTATT